TTTGCCAATCGGATGTTCTCCTTATCGTAGTTGGGGCCCCTTGTGCCACCTCTCAAGATGACGAAGCCGTGCTGGTTGCCTGAGGTCCTAGTAATGGCGGCCAATCCCTGCTTAGTGACACCCATGAAGTGGTGCTTTGAGGCGGCGGCTCCGATGGCGTCGATGGCAACCCCCAAGTTCCCGTCGGTGCCGTTCTTGAAACCGATGGGGAACGACAGGCCGGAGGCCAGCTCTCGGTGTAGCTGAGACTCGGTGGTTCGGGCACCGATGGCGCCGACAGAGATGAAGTCGGCGAGGAACTGGGGGGAGATGGTATCGAGCATCTCGCTCGCGATGGGCATGCCGGCATTGGTCAAGTCGCTGAACATCTGGCGCGAGAGTCGGAGGCCCTTGTTGATCTTGAAGCTGTTGTCGATATCGGGATCATTGATCAGGCCCTTCCAGCCGACCGTGGTACGAGGCTTCTCTAGGTAGGCGCGCATAATGATGCACAGGTCATCGGACAGCTTCTCGGACAGGGCTCTTAGGCGCTGTGCGTACTCTTGGGCCGTGGCTGGATCATGGATGGAGCAGGGGCCGACGATAACCAGGAGCCGGTCGCTGCGACCCATGATGATGGAGACGGCCTCACGGCGGCCCTTAACTACGGTTTGGAGCGAGGCATCGGTCATGGGGATTTCGGAGATGAGAAGAGCGGGTGGGATCAGGGGATCCTGACCCAGGACTAGTGTGTCGCTACATATCAGCATGGTGAACAACCACGATAGACCGGATCCAGGTGCAACTGCGCATGAGGCTAGGAAACAAGGAGACACGGGTTACCTCATGGCAGGTAGCCTTTGAGGACCTCCCAGTTGATATCCATACTCAATTGTCCAGAATTGATCCCATCTCAACAGACAAGACGCCGTGCAAACGCCACAAGAAAAGCCAAATCCGATAGTAGCCACGTACCTCGCATATCGTCAGCCTTGAGTAGCTCCATGTCGATTCCCGGCATGATGCAGTGTGAGGATGACCGGTCTCGTACAACTCAAGGATAGCAACGACGAGATCGAAGCTGACAGGGCGCAGTCCGGTTTGCTACAACGAACTAAGGACGCAGGATCACCTGAACAGTAATTGGCTCTGCAACAGTTGACGTGCCGGCTGGAAGCTGAGGGGAACTGAGGTAGAGATCAGGACGGGGTGTTTCAAAACCCGGGCTTCGAGAAAGGTGATTGGAGATGGAAATATAGTGTTCCAATAGGAGATCTAGGGAAGACACGCAAGGATTTGATTGCGAGTGATTGCCTTACCTAGTGTTGCAAAGTGAGTCAGTCGATCGAGGGTCGAAATAAAAGAAAAAAAGCTATAGGAAAAATAAGACGGAGGTGAGTGAGTCTAGCTAGCACAGGAAGGGTCCGAGTCGGCCAGTTAATTGTAGGGGAATAGCCTGCATACATGTACCTCCCTGCTGTACATGCCTACATGCAGGTAGGTGTACCTTCCTACCTTATGTACCTAGATACATGCCTCCTAAGTAGGCACTGCTATACCTAAGTACAGGTACCTCGTGGAGGGGCAGCCGTCCAGGTGGGGTGCTTGTACCTCCCTAATAGCGTGCATGTAGCTTAGATCCTTGGCTCCTGGATTTAGTAGTGTTAACCCTAAGCCATCAGGTAGTAAGCAGGGCGTTTTTATCCAGGAGATGAACCTGCAAAGTGCACCAACAATGATATAGATGTATTAAGGGTAGTTGTTTTCCCATTCCGGAAACTCGGGAGTTTTTAGCACCAAATACATGGTTGAGTTTTAAAGCGAATTCATAAATGCGTACGGTGGAATCTTGCAGGTCGTGTTGATGCGTCACCACATATGCACTACTTGTGTGTACATATGTACTACATATGTAGATAATGCCGGTGACGGAGCGTCCCTGTGCAAGTACCAACCAAGTACAAGAACTACATTTTCTGAAGAAGAGGGGCAGGTGATGGCATGAGATGGAGGGGCATCCGCGCACTCTATCGATTACCGGCACCTACCTAGATAGGTAGTTACCTAAGGTATCCATCTGTCTAAGGTAACTTATTTATAGGTATACGTAGGTGGTAAGTACCTAAGGTACCTACCTATACCTTAATGTTGCGAACTTGGGAACATGCGCCCAATCATACAAGATGCAAAACTCAGCATACCAATCTATTGTTTCATCTTGCCTCATTTCCCCCGCCCTTCAACTTACTTGTTGCATGTCATGTTGCCTGTGGGCACTCCTCTTCATACTATGTCAGGTTACCTACATATGTCTAATAAGGTACGCTGACATATGCCTCGACTGAGCGAATAGCGTCTGTTCGACCGATGTAGATGATGGCTGATGGGTAAATGTACCAAACTTCAAGCCGGCTCCCAATCATTCGAGAGGGAGGGTTGCAGCTCACCGCCGTTCCAGTCTTGGGCCCGAGGGGCCAATGGAATTATCTGCCCACATCACGTCCTCTCCTGCGTCTTCTCTGAAGTGTGTTGGGCGGCTGCCTCCTGCGATCCTACATACCTACATGTGAGAATCGGCTGTCACCTCCCCTGTTGGCATGCCAAACTACCTAGGTTAATGTGTACTGCAGCATGCAGGTCCCCGTAAAGAGGTCGGTGGTCGGTAGCGCAAAAGTAATTACAAGTTATTAAGTTGGTGTTACTCGGGTGCTTGGTCCGAAAATACGTATGTAGCGTAACCTGAATTGCCCATAACATGACTGAGTACTGGGCAATGGGAGTTTGCACTTTTCCCGCCCTACCATCTAGCACTGTCTTCTATCTGCGTGTGCCTCGTGGCTCGTCTCCTTTTCGGGGACCGTTCGGGAAATTGACGTAGACACGTCCCGAAAGCAAATTAGATGTCATCGGAGCCCTTATGAAGTGAGGAGCCCCCTTGGAAAGAGAAGATGGAGGGAGCATACCATCAAGCCAGGGTTTCTCCTCTTCCACTCCTCCGGTATACAGCTCCAGTTCAAAGTTATTAATTCCCACAGGCCGTTCAAGGCTGTACGGAGTCGGCATCTTATCCGTAATAGACGCTAGTACGGCTAAATTCTGCCAAAGGTCCTGGAATATAACGGAGGCGGGTTGTCCGTAACCCTGGGGAATCCCCACAGCATCATGCTTGACGGCATAAATAACTCCATCGACACCGATCATGTTGCTCAGACCATCGTCGTCTTGGCACTCTCGTGCTCACAGCGAGGGCATACATAACCCGACTGTCAATTATCTATTTGGAGATGCTGGGGGCTACGGGACTCCGGTTTTTGTCGGCGGCAGCCTGTCTGCTAGGGACGGCATGCGTTGTTGGATCGCCTCTAAATGCCGAGAGGCTAGAGAAATGCCAATACGAGGAGTCTCATTGGGTCGCCACCTGGACCTCGATGCCGCAGCTGGTTGAGCAGAACAACCTACCCCCATCTCCCTTCGTAAGTGCCATGGTCTCACCGAGTCGAGTCCGTATTGTCCGGTACCTAATGTTTTCATGTAGACCGGAAATGGGGTATTCAAGGATGCCACGCTCCGGCAGACGCTCCACATGTCCATTGGCGCCGAGAGAATCCGTATTCAGATCTCCAATACTTTTGGCGGCAGCGCCCTGCCCATCACGGCGGCCTCTCTCGCCTTGCCCACGGGGGGCGAGGCCGGCGTCAGTGGCATCGATACTACAACCCTCAGGGGACTCACGTTCAATGGCTCCGCCTCGGTGAGCATACCCCAGGGTCAGGTGGTGTATACGGATCCCATCGACGTCAAGATTGCACCACAGTCCATGATTACGGTCACTCTCTACTTCCAAGCCGGCCAGTCTGGTACCAGTATTACGGGCCATCCCGGGAGCCGTACAACCTCGTGGATGCAGCAGGGGGACCACGTGAATGCCTCCACGGTAACTGGGGCAAACACAGCCCATTGGTATTTTCTAAATGCAGTAGAGGCTTGGGCCCCAAAATCGACGGCGGCCTTGGTGATCCTCGGCGATAGCATCACAGATGGCCGTGGTAGCACTGACAACAAAAACAACCGGTTAGGCCACTTGTTATGAGCAAAGACGAACCCGCCGAAGCTGACTTGTGCATTCAGGTGGCCGGACTTGCTTCTAGCTAGGATGCAGAAGGAGAATATCACGAATATTGCTGTCGTCAACCAGGCAGCCGGCGGCAACACAGTTCTGAGTGGAGGATTGGGCCCGCCACTAATGCAGCGCTACAAGCGCGATCTACTGCAGACCGCGGGTGTTAAGTACGGCCTCATCTTCGAAGGCGTGAACGACATCGGTGGTGGGTCGGCGGACTCGGGCACCCAGTCACGAATTAGCAGCAGTTTGCAGTCATCCTTCAAGACTATCGCTACCGACGCCAAGGCGGCGGGCATCACGATGTTCGGGGCGACTATCACACCTTTCGGCGGCAGCGGACAGGCGTACAGCAACCCGACACGCGACTCGACACGGCAGACAGTGAACAAGTGGATTCTGGCCGGTGGCGACGGTAGTTTTGCTGCCTCGGTCGATTTTGCCAAGTTCCTAGCCAACCCGTCACAGCCGGCAAACTTAGCCTCGCAGTATGATGGCGGCGATCACCTGCACCCGAATCCAGCAGGTTACCAGGCCATTGCCGATCAGTTTCCCCTGGCCATCTTCAAATGAAATAAGAGACCGTATGGGGGAACAGCACGGGATCTGCTTTGATGTTACTCATCTTATTTATGTCTCTCTTCTGCCATTTTGGATTAACATGTTATGGAGGGATAAAAAGTTTCGAACGATTATTCGCGTAAGGAGATAAACGTGAAATGATCATATTAGTCCGAACAAAAATAAACAAGCATGTCCTGCAGTGACCTGCCTGCCCCCTCCGTCCCCCTTCCCCTTTGTTGTACCGGGATACCTCCAAAGTAATCATAATCACAAGATAAAAAAAGGATGACGAGCTCCTTAGATGATTTTGGGATGATCAAAATGAAGCGATCATTATCGCCCCAGGCGGGGGTCGAACCCGCAGCCTTCGGATGACAGATACCTCGGTAAAAGTCCGACGCTCTAACCAATTGAGCTACCAGGGCTATGGCCGTTTTGCATTTATTGTGGCACGAGACAATTAGGAGACGAGTTGGGGGAACGCATCCTAGCACAACAATTGGTATGGTTAGGTGATTCTGGACTTTATCCTTACTAAAACAGTAATATTCCTTGCGAGCTCCATTGGGAAGAAATACATAGGTGGAATTTAAGCGACTCGTTTGGGGTTAAGTTATGATTAGGGACGCTACTGCAATATACCCAAGAATAAAATAATAAGAAAGTACGAGACGGATTCATCGCCCTGCCATACTTAGCATCCCTGCAAATCCACCGAGAAGCAGCTTGATCAAGATATTACATCCACCATACTAAATTGTTCTTGCTTCTAGTTGCTGGGTAGTCAAACGGCCAGAGTGACCAGCAAGGAAGCCAGACTAACAGCAGCGACCAACAGTCGGCCGTCTACCATCCCCTGAACGGCAATCGAGGTAGCAATGGTTGATAGAGGCGCCGCTGAAGACGATGTGCGCGTTACCACAATGCTGGCTGTGCCATTTGGGGCCCCTGACCTCACACTCGAAGTCTCGAGATTCGGGCCCATGAAGAGGGTAGAGCTGCTCATGGTTGTGCTGCTAGTTACGCCATTGACATCGGCAGTGGCTGTACGATCATGAGTTACGTTATCTCTACAATGTCTGAACAATATACAAAGTGGGTGGCTTACCAGTGCTTGATTCACACGACGTCGTGGTGCCGCTCGCGACGAAACCAGTGATCGACAAAGTGGGAGTGCTGATAGTAGTAGTGGATATCTCTTCTCCAGAGACGCTAGGAGCCGTAGTCTTCTGGGTAGTTGTGGGTTTGGACGATGGGCCTCCGGGGATAAATATACTAATCCTGGTGGTCAGTGTGGTACTGGTAGTGCCACTGATGGTCGTGATCTCCAAGCTGCACGCCGGGCGCGACACAGTGATGGTATGGGTTACCGTGACCGTGATTGGCTTGGTAAGGGTGACGGAGTTCGTGATTGTAACGGGCAGGATGGAATAGGGTGTCTCCGTATATACAGGGGAGTCAGTCGACGCGCCCACAACTGTGTCAGTCACGTCCCCGTAACCATAGCCCTGTGGTGTGCCGGCCAGGATAGGGTTGGCAATGAGGCATGCAAGGGCCCAGAACTTGGTTGAAAACATGTTGAGAACGAGTGGCGGTTGAGATTATAGGAAACTAGAGCTCAAGGAACAGGAGACCAAGCTTGAAGAGCGTAGGAAAGCTTCTGGCAAGTCAGCGCCATGGGAATGATCCCCATTAAGTACTCGCGTACAGCAGCAAGCGATTTAATGGTGTTACACACACAAAATTAAACAAAGCACAATCGGTTACCTGCGTGTACCTCATTTACGAGGGAAACGGAAATATGCTATCTCTCTCGTGTACAAAATTGTTTTAATGTAGTACTAATAACTGTTGTACTCCTATCTTGTTCATCGCTGTAATGCCGACGATCATGAAACAAGGCCGAATGCTTCGGAGATATTGAAGTTTGAGTCACACATACAATAGGAGAAACAACACATACGAAATTCAAAGGTATTACAATAGTCCTTAATAGGACATTGGCAATAATATACGCCGCAAGGTGCGCAATATTAAGGCCGGGTCACTTAATCGACCGGAGAAGATCATCTGTACAGCGCAGAGGATATTTCAAGTTCTTCCGGTATATAGCACCAAAGTTTCAGACTACAAACCTACAGAAATAATATTACGGACGAGCAAGATTAGCAGATTAGCTGGAATGTCTTGCAGAGTTCTGGCATCACTTGCGTATCGTCCTATACCATAAACTGCCCTCAACATGAGGTTCCTATACCGGTTGTTGTTTGCTAAGAAGCTTTTTAAGACTGACGGGATTTGAAATAATATGCTGAGTTATTACGAGCCTATTAGTCATATAGTAGACTAGAACTGTACTAAAAGTTGCAAGTGAGACTTGCAAGCTGATAAGGTGGTCGTTGAGTACCTGGTCCTGTAGGTTTGGGGATAAAAAGGAATAATGAAGAAGCCTGGTTTAGTTGACGTAGCTAAAGAAGCCTGAGTTCTGAGCTGAATTCAAGATTGCTAACATCCATTTTTCGACGTAGTACAAGAAATTACCTTTAGTTTGATAATAGTTCTGTGCTATGGCTCCCTGTGATTTCCAAAGACTAGAATAAGTGTAAATAATAAATTCGTTGTTGTTATCAGGATCTCTTGTATGAGGAGTATTGATACTTGTTGTTGCGGCAAGACTCTAACAATCTCTATGAGCTAGTCCCTGGCTACAGACATACACGCCCTTGGTCTAGGTAACAATCCTGATAGTCGTGGACCTATATTGCAAATACGGTATCATCGTCATATAATTCTAGCAATATTGAATGACGATTTATACTTTGTTTATGAAGATTTATTAAATGATAATGTAACAAGTCGGCGAAGGTTGCCTGACAGATACACGGCTTACAACCAAATGCCGGGGGCGTCAAAAGTCAAAACGTCATCGTCTGGCCAAGCCTACGCTGTTATTCTAACCTATGACAGTCCACTTTATTCATGGGATATTTGATAGCGCTGCCTACCTTGGAGGTCGAAACGCAGATTATTTTGTCCGAAATCACATGAGCTAATACTAATACGTCTAAAGGCTTTATCAACGCCGTAGTTTCAATAAATGCGCCATTTTGCTAGAGTTGTGATACTATGTTTCGTAACTCTATCACTTAGCACCAATTCTTGAATAATGGTTTATCATCGAGACACTATTTGTACAAAACTAAAGGATTTCACGAAAGGCGCACTCTGAAACTCTCGAATGTACATTTAAAAGTTCTCCATCCAAGGTTGCAGTGAAGCAGTGCAAGTGGATAAAGCTAATTAGAGGATTAAGGTTACAGGTAGTAGTGCTAGCCACCTGTCGCTTATTAAATTTAGCGTTGATGCTCTAATTTTAAAGATTTAGGTCTCACGGGCCACAACTCTAGGGACACCTGACACTGCACAGCAAAGAGCCTTCTATATATCGTCTGCAAAGGTGGTTTTAAATACCCATTATATGACAACAATTATTCAAGGCCTACCGAATGTAGATGATTCCTAAAACTGGGAATCTAATAGGATCATCAACATATCAATTAAATTTATGGCGGCCAGAATTATTTTTCTTTTCTTCCCTTTTTTAAATAAGGGTTCAATAAAATCATTATCTTTTACCTTAACTGTTACAGTGTCTTCAACATTCTATGTATTATAAAATTACATGGTTAATCCTAGACTATTTAAGTGACATTAAAATTAACCCTTCTACTTAATAAACTAAACACGTTGCCGAATTGGATAGCTTGTAAGCAGAGGTGAATTTGTTGGTTATTAACGATTTTCTGTTTAGCGATCTTGCATTTCCATGGACTCCAGATAAGGTATTGTTCATTTAACAGCTGTAGTGTTTCCCAGGAGTTGGTTCACGTTGAAGCCAATTGAAAGCCTGCAACGTTCCATAGCCACCATCGAGGACTGCATAATTTCTGCAGAGGGAATGATGATTAAGCCTCCCTGTCATCTACTTTTATTTCAGGGCGGGAGTCCCGTGATAATCTCACGTGGATGGAATGCTAAGTGAAGCCTGGCGGGTTAAAACGTACCGAATGCCGTGCCTCAATCCTAACGGCCTCCTTGTTACTATCAACCTGACCCCCCTGAGTGCCGGTGTGGCGTCATGGTCGATCCTTAATGACTAGACAGGCAGGCGCTAGTAGCTTTCGCGATGTCCAACATCGCGTGACTATTTGGCCCCGATGAAGAAGGCTTCGAGGGCCATCCAGGGAAAGCCAGTAGGATCAGCAGCATCCTTTTGAGGGGAACATCTTCAACGTACTCAGAGTCCAGAGGTGGTTTCCATATTACCTTTAATAACACGCCCTAGTTGAGAGGCACACAAGTCAAAATGATGACATGCATAAATTGACAGCACAAGCTAGGATTACCGCATGCAAGTCATCGCTTTGAGCCTCATGCGACCACAGATAAATTTGCCGAAGATGGCGCTCTTCATGCCCGAACTAATAGCCACATCTTATGCTTGATTGCGTCGCTTGGGCAATTTTATTCCTTCAGTTGTCGTTACTCTTGATGATGTTCGAAGTGAAAGGGTTTTCTTAATGTCATGGTCCGCCTTTATCACGTGGGGTTTGGCCTACTAGAATTAGCGCAGCTGGAGACGCTCAGGAACTTGGTAATTCACGTTAATGAGAATAGTAGAACGGTATGTTTGTAGTAACTTCCCAATTCATTGAACTTCTAATTTGGGAAGTTATTCATAGTTATTTGTCCCTACTTAAACACTGCACGACACCAAGCCCCAATCCCTGTTTAGCTGTCGGCACATGGAGCCCCATAGCGGCTCTACAGTAGCACGTTGGCTTGGAATGGCTTACAACTATAATTATAGAATAACTAACACTGACTAAGAATCTACTTTGAGTTCAGCATGAATACGCCGTATTGCGCGATCGGCCTTTGTATAGTGATAATCCGATAACAATACAGAAACCGCTTCTTGGTTTTAGAAGGCGGTCAATTCAACAGTCCTAACTTCACAGGATACAGAGACCCAAAGGCGACACCCAGGTGACCGTAAACTAGGGCTTTTCAATTGGCCCCGTGGGTATCGAGTGCTGTACTTACATGCTCAAAATAGGGTTAATGGCCGGTACACATAACACGTCTACGGTACAAATATCCTCAGGCTACGCGTATGTAGGAATCTAGGAGATTTCATTGCAGTGCGTGGGATTAAGAGAGCATACAGTGGTAGTTCGGCATGCTTCCCGACCTCACACTAGACTAAGTAAGCATCTATGTTAGCTAGTACCTGTACGGAGGTAGATCCAGTTGATTCCATGTCTCCACTATCTAGGTATCATGGCGACTACAAAGCGTAATCTACAATGAATAGAAACCCGAACGAAGTTGTCGTATGGTTATTTGTATTATAATTAATGGT